GTTTCACTTATTTAAGAAAGGTGGCATGTTAGGTTGTTTATTGAAAGACTTCCATGCAGTTTCAGCAATACTTTAAAAGTGAAATGCCAGACTTTAAATCCTGGTTCATAGTACTCTGTTACACATGCTTAATGAGAATAAATCAAATGTAATTTGGTTAAACAACTCAGCATAGAAGGGTGAAAATAAAATGTGTTTTTGAAATTTTGACACAAAAAACGGTAGATGTGACTCTGCTATTTTAAAGTCTCTCGGGATGTATAAATATGTTTTGGCTAGTCTTGCTTGGAAGTGAAAGTCCTAAGTATTATTTAAAACTTGGTTGTCTCCCAGAAAATACTAGAGCCACTTCTGCAGTACTTTCTGGGCCTCTGTGTGCCTCTTGACTTGTGATTTTCAGAATTATCTCATAACTCATCAGTCAAAAGGAGTTATACATGTTTTGACCTTTCTACATTCAGCTCAATGGGAGGTGAGTCAAAGTTTTATTATAATTGTAAAGACATTCTCTGAAAGGTGGCCACTCAAATCAGAAAGCAAAACCTTTTCAAAACCACTTTCACTTTCTAACGCAGACTGTTTCCTTTCTCTAATGATAATGCTCAGTTGCGAATAATTTTATTTTAAGTAATATAAATATTAGGCGCTTATAAGTATATGTGTGTATTACATATTTTTGTGTTGACTGCCTCATAGAAGGAGAGGCTACTCACTCCCACCCATCTTCCTTCCCCATGCTTGTTGTTTAAAATAGAAAGAAAGAGAAAATAATTAAAAAGCCATGCAATTCTGTATATTGATCAAATTGACATTTTAACCCATTCATTGCATTCTTATTTTTGTTATAATCATTATCTAAATATACACCTCTACCTCGATATAATGCTGTCCTCGAGAGCCAAAAAATCTTACCGTGTTATAGGTGAAACCGCGTTATATTGAACTTGCTTTGATCCATTGGAGTGCGCAGCCCCACCCCCCTGGAGCACTGCTTTACCGCATTATATTCGAATTCGTGTTATATCGGGTCACATTATATCGAGGTAGTGGTGTATTAAGGGATACTGTTCATTATATTAACTGATATTTTCCATTTATTAATTAGCAGTGGATATATTTGGTTAAGTTTTTGTAATGGCTGTTTCTTGAGAATAATATGTATTGCATTTAATAGTTAAAGTGTATAACCTGGTCAGTTTTTCTCATAAAAATATATAGGTAGATTTGTATTTCTGTTATGATCGTGCTTCCTCACTGGATTTTTATGGGCTTTTCTGATGGGTATTAAGTAGGCCTTCCCAAACAGAGAGGAACTGTTACATCTAAACTGAGAATGTTTGGCACAAGTTTTTCCGTGAAAGAAATTAAATTTGAATCCCCTTCTCTTAGAGGAGCACCTACCACCCTGACATTTCTGGATCTTCTTTTATGTAATAAATATTGCAGTTGATGGTCAGCATCCAGGCTGTCATTAACTAGTTTTGCAATATGCTTTGTTGTTCAGAGATTTGGATTTCAATGTATTTGATTTTGCTGATCAAGCTCTGCACTTTGTACCTTCGTTTTTAACTTCTTTGCTTTAGGTTTGGTAAGTTTTAGCAAAAATTGCCACGTTTTATTTTCTCCAGAGAAGACTGAACAGAGAAAGTCTTATTTGAAATAAATTCACTCCAGTGCTCCTTGGTCATAAACCTTGTTTTGCTGAGTGTTATCAGGGTGAAGCTGACTGCTTGGTACCATGAGAGATCCTAGATTTTAAGAAGTCCCAGTGATTATTTTTATTACTTCTACCGAGCATGTTTGGCAGATTTGGGTATTTTTATGGTGTGTGTGCTTTGCCATTTAGAAAAAGAAAATAAAAGGAGAAAAACCTTCCTGAGTAAATGGGGATTGACTGATTGGGTGCTCCCAGTTCATGCTTCTACTCAGTTTCTTGCATAGGCTTACCCAGATCCCTCTCTCACTACCCTGTAGTAAACTCTGCTTTCTAACTAAGTACGTAATGCATAACTGTGTGTTTTGTGTGTGATTTTAACTGTATCTCATCATAACAGCACATAACAGGGAAGTCATCTATGGTCTTTAATATTAGCGTCTTAGTTTTACTGCTTAAAAAATTGCCCAATGTACTAAAGACAAAGGGAAAATATTCATCTCTGATACAGGTGGGTGCATCTACATGGACTTTGGAGTTATTCTGATTCACCAGGGGTGAAATGCTGGCCGGACTGAAGTCAATGGGAATTTTGCCCCTGCAGTCAGTGAGGCCAGGATTTCACTCCAGAGCTACGTAAGACCATAAGCTCGAAAGATTGTCTCTTTCACCAACAGAAGTTGGTCCAATAAAAGATAATACCTCACCCCCTTTTCTCTCTAATATTCTGGGACCAACACAACTACAGTAACACTGCGAACAAAATAAGTGCCTGTCAATTTGGGTAGTAAATATCAGAGGCCAGATTCTAATCGTATTTGTAGCAATGTAAAGCTGAAGTAACTTCATTAAAGTCACTGGAATTTCATTGGTGTAAACCCAGGGCAGGTTAGAGCAGAACTTGGAGCCAGCTTTCTGGGGAAGTAGGAGAAAAAAGTTCACACAGTAAAATCATCCATGAAGAAAGGTCAGCTGTCTGGTACCGTGTTCTTAGAATTCAACCATGCTTCTCTCTGGCATGACCTTTCTTCCATCAATTTCAACTGAGTGTTTTCTCCTTTCCATAATTGCAGCTTAAATCAAGCTGTAACTTCATTTGCTGAGACATTTACAGTAAATAAAGGTTAACAATATTCTTTTAAACAGCAAGTTCCAGACACTTAGATGTGTCAGACTCAAAGATAAATTGATGTAATCTCTAATATTGACATACCAAGAAGATTAAATACCTTTAAAATTTAAAAGGATTCCCACAGTTTGAATTGGTTGAGTTTCTCTTAGGGAACATATCCCTGGCTATTTTTAGCCTTTAGCTAAGTGTGGAATTAGAAGAAAGATGCTTGTTGAATAATTTTGAGAGAGTTATAAATTTAGTTCTCTTTGAAAAAGACCATCTGTTTTGTGTTTTCTTCACAGGTCAGATGATGATGATGCAGATAGCAGGAGTTCCAGGGTGACCCAACTTTGCACTTACTTTCAGCAGAAATATAAGCACCTCTGCCGCCTGGAGCGGGCAGAATCTCGTCAGAAGAAATGCCGGCATACGCTCCGGAAAGCTTTGCTGCATGCGGCCAGCAGAGAGCCGGAATGTGCTGGGCAACTGATACAGGAACTCCGAAGAGCTACATGCACTTGGACCAGGTTAGAGCTCATACACTCCAACCTGCCTGCAGTCATAGGCAAGGCTGGGTGAGAATCAGTAGTGAAACAAGCAGGCTAAGTTGAAATGTTGAACTTCCAACCTAATATTCACATGGATCCTGTACGTGGAAGGCAAAATAATAGTGACATTATTATCCTGTCATTACTAATCTTATCTGTAGAGTACAGTAAATTAAAGCACGGTTTATTTCTTAAAAGGTTAGGCATTTTTTAGCTGTGCAGCGTAGAAGATGGATCATTTGTTCAGCAACACACGCCCATGATTTTAATTCCTTAGGATAAAATCATGGTCCCAGTGAAGTCAACGGCAAAATTCTAATTGACTTCATTAGGGTCAGGATTTCACCCGGAGTATTTTAGCTTCTGATTTGTTACTGATTCTGTCATTGTAACTGATCACCCACCCACATGTCTTGGGTTTTTAGTTAAATGCTTTACAGAAACTTATGGTCTGCTCTGCAGATTCCCTCAACAGTTCAGACTCTTTTTAAAAAAAAAAAAGTGTGTTCCCTTTACCTCTTTCTAGCATATCATCAGAAGCTCTTCTAATTGATTAGATTTGGCTCAATCTAACATTGAATGAGATTCAACAGTGAAACAAATATCCTCTAACAACTTTGAAGGTTACTTTCTGTGGGATTTCCTTTTAGATAATGTCAACATCCCTCCAGTTCTTGTCTTGCATGGAGTTGCTTTGTATAGAATATTTGTGCAAATCCTGGTGTTATGTCTTAGGTATCAGCAGCTTCCCTCTTCTGGTTCTATCCTCACTCACCAAGGCATGTGGCTCTGGGGGACTCTGAAGAGAATTGTGCAGGGGGGGAGGCAGGTGGCAGGAGCAGGCTTAAAGCAGCATCTACCCTCTTCACACAGAGCACTCTGCATGGGGGTGCTCTTAGCTCCTCTGGGGGATAAAGAAGGACTAAGGACTCTGCTTTATGGTGAGGGATATATTGAGGCTGGAAGAAAAGGCTCCTATTTTGTAAGGATAGCTCAGAACCTCCATTTTATTAAATGGTTTCTAATTGAACTTTTAAAAATAAATACATAAATAAATGTGTTCAAACTTAAACTACGTTATAAACCTTGCCAGAATTATTAGGCTAATTCAATGCAATTTGGTCAGATTATTTGGTAACCTAAGTAAAGTCTACTCTGTAGCACATAGATTAGTTGTGTAATTAGAAGTGAATGAAAAATTAAATCGGGGGTAGTCTAGCAAAATAATAGAGCGCTATAGTCACTGCTCCAATTTCATAAAATGTAGGAACTGAATTGAGTTTGCGACTCCAAATATTTCATGTTGGCCATAGGGGATGATAATATTTACTAAAATTATTTTGTCCAGCCTTGTGATCTAGTTTAAAACAGTTGATGAAGCCCTAAGGGTAATAGCCGGAATGTCTGCAAAGAACCTTCAATCAGCGTCGAGAATAATATGCATACAAGTGAAATTCACCCCATGCAAAGGGCCAGTCCTATTTTGAGGTCTTACATAGGACTTCTGCATTGCCTAGGCCTTGTGCAAGCCTTCTGCATGTGAGGTGAATTTCAGTGAGAATGCAACTCTGGGTTCTATCATTTAATATTTACATTGCGTGCCTGGAGTCTCTGATCAGGTTCAGGGCCTTGTTGTGTCAGATGCTGTAAACAAACAACAGTTGTGATGAAGTCTTGCTTGTCTCATTCTGTAATGCTGTTACACGGATGTCACCCTTGCCCCTTGTTTACATCTGTCCTGTATCCAGCTCAAGAGAGTAAATAACTACACAGATGTGAACTGTAAACCACACAGGTGTATCCAGAGTGTCATGGTTCACTTTGCTATGTTTAGTGTTACTGTTATGCCAGGATATCTGCTGGCAGTGGATTTTTTAATTATTTTTTTTAAACTCCATGTTGTAATGTATTTTTGTTTCAGCACAAGCCAAGCCAAGCAGAGAGATGCAGAACCAACAACATGTTGTGGAACTGTGAAGGGTGAACAGTGCACTAACAAGGCCCTTCCATTCACCAGGCATTGTTTTCAACGTATCCTCTTACCTCCCCTCTATGCTCATTGAGGAAGGAAACACCATTGATAAAGTTTCATTCTTTAGAGTGACAGATAATTTTGTATCAGAAATACTTATTTGCAAATGTCTCCTGAACCGTTTTGGCTTTGTGTCTGTCTGCTCACAGGTATTTAGGGTAGTGGGAGGTGATCTATTCACCATAGGCAAGACCCATAGTTCAAGTTACTGGTATCTGTCATAGTTACATGGTTACACTCCTCCTGAGCTCAGCCTGGTGCCTACCAGCAGCTTTATAGATGATCTCATTCTTTGATGGGAGGGTGTGCTCTACACTGCTCTTGTGCAGTTGATGGTAGCTTTCCATAGAATGTCTGGATGGTCTTACAGGATTCAGCTGTGTATGCAGAAACTAGGAATACTGTGGAGTAAAGTAGTCGCCTAGAGTGAATGAATGGTGAAGGTTCTAATAGCCCGCATTGCTAAATGAGGCTGTGTGGGGGAAGAATGAGAAGTACCTAGGACATAGTTCTGGGTGAGGAAAAACCTGTACGTGAATACATGGGATTTCAGGAAAACCTTAAAGAAATGTGATCTGCGGAGGTGTAGCATTCTCCTCAAAAAGTGTGTGTATGGGGGAACCTTGTAAGAGTCAAAACCAGCTTCCATATCTGAACCTGGAGGCTAAAGAGGCTGATTATTATCATGAATTTTTTATGATTTATTTTAATTACTCTTTCTTACCTGACAAGACCCACTTGCATCTTCTCGCAGCTTTCTTCCCTCTCCTCCTCCCCACAAAACTATAGCTGTGAATTCACAGCCACCTTAGGAACTGAAGGAATGCTGCAAAATGATGAGGGTGGGGGAATGAACGCAAAGGGTAGAAAAGATCTAAATGGACGGGACAAAAGCAAAGTCTCTTAAAGTGCTGGGTGTAAAACTGAGTTACCATAAAAAGCTTTTAAAACCAGTTCCTCTGAGAGGGGGAAATCACAGACTATTCCTTGCCCGTTTAGGCTCTTAATATACATTTTTAAGATACATTAATGTCAGTTGAAATCAAAAGCTATCAGTGGCCACTGACAGTCTTATCCAACGTGGGCTCCATGGTCCAGTGGAAGGCACACTGGACAGATCTGGGTTCAGCTTCCAGATCTCCATGGGCCTGTCGGCCTGCTGTTTGACTTTGAGCAAGTCACTTTGCTTCTCTATACCTTATCTTCCCTGTCTGTAAAATGAGGGTGGCAATACATTGTAAAGGGCTTTGAGGCTTGTGCATGATGAGCTAATTGGCTTTTGTAACTTACTGTCTGCGGGCAGCGGGAAGTTACGTCCCATGCTGCGTCTTTGTCTGTATCTGAAAGGCGCTGACGGTTTTGTGTGGCCGTGCAAAGTTCAGCTAATAAGGCAGGTGTGGGTGGGTATTGGATGGTGCACTTTGGCCTCCACCAACATAGTGCATCTCTGTGGGACATGTTGCTTGTCCTTGCAATGGCTGCAAAATACAATGCTGGTTTCTAATTTTATATCTTAAAAATACAGATTTCTGTGAACAGGAGCTTAAATGTGGGGCGGTTACAAGGCTTAGATACATGGGGTCAGATTTTCAAAAGAGCTCTGCACCCAAAGTATCTAGGGGGAGTGTGTATATTATATATATGTGTGTGTGTGTGTTACACACACGCACACACACACACACACACACACCCCTCTTCCATTCCCACAAAAATATTATTCTGCAATGTGTCAAGTCCAGTTCAGAGAAATAGAGAATGTTTTGATTTTGCTTTTCTCTCCCGTTCACTCCTCTCCCCCAGAATGAAAATAGTCTCTTTCCACCATTTCAGATACTTGTTTCCTGCCTTATCCATCCTTAGGTTTTCCCTTTTTCCTTTGTTATTCTATATTATATTTTTTTATTCTATCAGGGTAGTTAAGTTATGGAATAAGCTTCCAAGGGAAGCGGTGGAATCTCCATCGTTGGAGGTTTTTAAGACGAGGTTGGACAAACACCTGTCAGGTTTATTTGGTCCTGCTTCAGCTCAGGGGGCTGGACTTGATGACCTCTCAAGGTCCCTTCCAGCCCCGGGCTTCTGTGATTCTAGCAGCAGTTTGACTATGAACTACTCTGGGCAAAAGGAAAGCTGCTAACGTTATTTGAAAGAAAAAAAAACCCACTGTGAAATACATATTTGACTTACAGGAACGTCTGAAAACACAAGTTTCAGTTTAGATTTATTTGACCTTTTCAGTCTGATTACATATCTGCTTTCAGAGGAACAGGAAGGATCTTAAAACTTTTTGTGTTCTCGAGAAAGAAAGGTAAATACCAAAAATTTAGCTTAAAGGATGAAATTAACAAATTCTCTTTTTAATGTTTTAATAGAGACAGTCAGTAGGAAATAGTCCTGTTGACTACAGTGCTCCAAACTGATAGTATTGATTGAGTCTCCAAGAAAAATACTTTTTTTCCTTCTTCTTTCTAAGAACTCATTAGCAAAATGCCTGCATCAATGAACCCTTCATAACAAATGATAAAATCCTTAGCAGTCTGGAGTAATGCAGTTTGTTACTTGAAAAGTTGGGTTTGAGCCGTACCTAGCTTTCAACTTAAATAACAAAGTTAAGATACTCATTAAAAATAACATCTGGATGGACTGGTAGAATTCAAGGCTTTGTTTTTTATCATATTGGCATTTCTCCATCACCGTCTGGTGTGTTGCTCCTGACCCAGAAACGCATAGATATCCTATTGAACCATTCTCAGCAGCTCTTCTCAAGTTGCACAGCCAAGTTTGCAGATGGGCAGCAGTGCTCCGTGCCAGTTTTTGACATTACACATCAGACACCTCTGTGTGAAGAACATGCCAAAAAAATGGTAAGTATAAACCGCAGTTGTAACTATTCCCACAAATTGGGGTCATCAGGAGTTCTATTTATCTGGTCTGGGTTTATCAACTGCTATGCTATTTTCCCCCCCAAAAATGGAAATTGACCTGACCTTTCCATAAAATCATAGTATAGTAAAACCTAGTGAGAGGGTTTCAGGCTACAATATCTAAGGTTGCCTATGACTGTGGTATCGCAGTCACTGTGATCCTGCAGCATGGTGTATTCTGGAGCATTATAACAGACTGGGAACCAGTGGAACGTGAGACAATAGCCTCGATTTTTCTGATCTCTACCTCCCCCAAAAGCAGCATTTTTAGGTTAATTTCTGTGCCAGCTGCCATTTAGCCTGTGTCATTTCATTTTTTTCAAAAATATTTTTGGGTCACCTTTAACTCTGAGGTTCCCTTTGTGTTTTATTGGTGTAACGCAGACCCTTAACATTTTAATCCAGGTTGTTGTTTTCCTCTCTCTCCAGGTAAATCCTCAGTGTCCCTATCAGAGGCCTGAAGATTGTCCCCCATTTTTTCCTTTGCTTGGCACATCAAAGCCCTGTGTCACAACCATCATAATCAAAATCGAAGACTGAATCCAACTTGCTTCAGAGCCTATAAAATGGTGCTCATTTTGTAATTGGCCAGTGGGTTGCTCTTCAGGAGTACAAGGCCCCGCAGCTGTGCACCTGCGTCCCCTGCCAATTCTCAGTCCTACAGCACTTACTATGTCTCTTCAGTGCTCTCAGCTCTTTACAGCAATGGGAACGTGACTAGAACTCTGGTTTACACCGAGGTGCACAAATCCTTGCCACCAGGTCACCCCAATATTGTTCATTCTTTTAATACTTACCTGGGGTGTTCCAAATCTTTTACGTTGGAGTTTATGTGCATTAAACTGTGGTTCTACTCCGACATAGTCATTGAAAATGACACTGTGGGCTTCCATATTTGCTGTACCTCGGTGATGCAAATAGTGTGGGATTTTTTTCTGACTGCCAGCTCTGCAAACCCGATCAGAGAATTAAGCTGGGTTTGTTCTTTCTCACTTATTATTACCAGTAATAAACAGCCCAGATTGTGCCCTCGATGAAACCTGTGCAACCTCATTTGCCTCCAGAGAGGTTGCATCAGTGTAACGTACATGCTCGTTGTTCTCAGTGATGATGCAGAAGGAGGAAAGGAAGTAACTTGGCTTTCATATCCATGCTTGGATTTGCAGGCTGGCAGTTAGAAGATCCTCTCTTCACTCACTTTATGTCTCAATGTTTGGGAATGGCAAGAAAAGAAAGTTGCATTGGATCCTAATGTGTCCCTTCTTCCTTCATTCTTTCTCCAAAAGGATAATTTCTTGAGAGGGGACAGCTCCCGTAAAGTTCAGCACCAGCAGCAGAGGAAACCCAGGAAAAAAACGAAGCCACCTGCACTTACCAAAAAACACAAGAAGAAAAGAAGGAGGGGACCACGTAGGCCCCAGAAACCTATTCCTCCTGCAGTGCCCCAAGGGAACCTCAGCATGCCCACCAGCATCTCACTGCCAGTGGAGATCTCCCACATACGGTCAGTGCCAGCGGCGGCTCATTTGATTTATTTTAGCTTTTTAAATAAAAAATTAAAGATAGGAAAAGGCAGCGGAGTCAGAACATTGTTCAGAGTGTGGCTAAATGAAAGCTGGACACACCTCGGCTCCAATTTGATGGGCTTAATTAGGTCTGCTAAATCTAGACGAGGAAGGGCGAACTTTCCTTTTTCTTTTCCCTACCACTTAATATTTTGACCTTCTAAATTCGTTAGGTGTTTGAACTGAAATGAACATCTTCAAGTGTCTTGTATCTCTGTCATTGCTGAAAGGAAGAATTGGAAAATGTTAATTTCAGATCTCAACAAAGGTTCGGCTAAATGGATAAAATGTTTTGTTGCCGATGCACAACTTATAAGTGTCATTAGTAGAACAAATTGAAGAGTTTTTTAATGAAACTTGTCTAAAAGGCATTCTTTCCACTTGTTGATTTTAAAACATAAAAAGGGCAGGGGGGCGAGAGCAGAGACTGAAACAGACCCTCTGTAAAGTATGCTGCAGTAGTGAAAAATCAGGATTTAAGAGTGTGGTTGACAGCACTGTCTCTCCAGGAGCCCCTCCACGCCGGAGTTGAGTACAGATGAGCTGCCCGATGACATCGCCAATGAAATCACAGACATTCCACATGACTTGGAATTGAATCAGGAGGACTTTTCTGATGTCCTACCACGGCTGCCTGATGACTTGCAAGATTTTGATTTCTTTGAAGGTACATTTTTGTTTTAATTTATAGTGAGGTGAGGAAATGAACAGTCTAAAATGTGCGTTTGAGGGTTCACCTGCTTTCTTGCAGGGAATTGAACTATTAGACAAAGAGGGCACATTCATCTACTGCTTATACATGACCTCTAAAAAGAGCATGTTTTAGAACTTGCTTGTTTGTATACTTAGTGCTACGGAAGTCCTGATTGATTTTGTGCTCTTCTGCATGTCACTGACAATTGCCATCAACCAAATTCTCAGTAAAAGATCATTCTGTGACTAGGATTACAGCCCTATTTTATCAACATCTGTCTTTTTATCAAAGGAAAACCAGAAATTAAAAAAATACCTGTGAAACTTGCTCGTGAGCTGAAATACACCTGAATTTCTGTGCGTTTGACTTCAGTGCCCACTAACAGTGGGAAAAGGCTCGGAATAGATCCACCAGGAGTTTTGGAAACCTCTTGCTGTGCTTTTTGTCACTTTTCTGAGCTGACGTGATATCAGAATTTGGCATTTTAATCCTGTTAATAAAATTTAGGTTATTCATGGAATCCAAGGTCAGAAGGGACCATTATGTTCAGACAGTCTGGCCTCCTGTATGACACAGGCCATAGAACTTCCCTGAATTAATTCGTAGAACATGTCTTTTAGAACACCATCCACATTTTTAAGTAGTTGTTATAACATAATAAGTAAAATGGACTTTGTAGACTGATCTTAGTACTATGTGGCATTACACTTTGAAAAGATATTTAAGCTTTTATAGCAGGGGTGGCCAAACTTACTTATCCTCCGAGCCACATACGATAATCTTCAGAAGTTTGAGAGCCGAGTGCGCTTGCTTGGGGCTTCTGCCCCGCGGCAGGGTAGTGGGACTAAGCCCTACGAGAGGCGCCTGCCAGTCCTCAGGGCTTCAGCTTGAGCGGGGCTGAAAGCCCCGAGCCCTGGCAGGGACCTCCCGCAGGGCTGAAGCCTCTGGATTCCCTCCCCACTGGGCAGAAGCCCATAGCTCCACCAACCCACCTCCTTGCAGAAGCCCCGAGCTTCCCCCACTCCAGTCTAGTAGGTGGAGAATGGGAGGGTGTGGGGGGCTCTGTGAGCCAATCTTTAACTGTAAAAGAGCCACATGTTTGTTATAATTTTCTGGTAGAAATCCTATTGAACTTTTTGGATAGCTGTATTCCTAGGGCCACAGTGTGAGGCGTATCTCTGAAAAGTAAACTAACTTCCGTTGTTCCTGTTTCTGTAGGTAAAAATGGAGACCTCCTTCCTACTACCGAAGAGGCGGAGGAACTGGAACGGGCTCTGCAGGCTGTAACTTCTCTTGAGTGCCTGAGTACCATTGGAGTACTTACACAAACAGACGGTGTGCCAGTTCAGGAGCTATCAGATAGAGGGATAGGGGTGTTCACCACAGGTGCTGGAGCTCCAGGAATGCAGTCCTTGAGCAGAGAGGTTAACACGGACCTGGGGGAGCTGTTGAATGGGCGTATAGTACATGATAATTTCTCCAGTCTGGAGCTGGATGAGAACTTGCTCCGTTCTGCTACCTTGTCTAACCCACCTACGCCCCTGGCAGGGCAGATCCAGGGGCAATTCTCTGCCCCAGCCAACGTCGGCCTTACTTCTGCCACTCTGATAAGCCAGAGTGGACTTGGGGAGAGAGCCTTCCCAGGACAGTTTCATGGACTTCATGATGGCAGCCATGCCTCCCAGAGGCCACACTCTGCCCAGCTGCTGAGCAAGGCAGATGACCTAATCACCTCACGACAGCAATACAGCAGTGACCATTCGCACTCCTCACCCCATGGAAGCCATTACGATAGTGAGCATGTGCCGTCTCCCTACAGCGACCATATCACATCCCCCCATGCCACATCCTATTCTGGTGATAACTTGGCAGCTACCTTCTCAGCAGAGATGCCCATTATGGCACAGCACTTGCTCCCACCGCAGCTGGAGGTGCCACTTAGTGGGGTGGTGAACCCCAGAACTCACTGGGGAAATCTCCCTGTCAATCTTGGTGACCCCTCTCCGTTTAGCAACCTTCTTGGTGCCGATGGACACCTTCTTTCCACCTCCCTGTCCACACCACCTACCACCTCGCACTCAGAGACCACACAGCCTGCCTTCGCCACTGTGACCCCCAACAGCTCCAGTGTGCTTCCGGGGTTACCGCAGACCAGTTTTAGTGGCATGGGTCCTGCCTCTGCTGAACTAATGGCCTCCACTTCCCCCAAACAGCAACTCCCTCAGTTCAGCGCAGCCTTTGGCCATCAGCTGAGCTCCCACAGTGGCATTCCTAAGGACCTGCAGCCCAGCCACAGTTCCATAGCTCCTCCCACAGGCTTCACAGTAACAGGTGCCACAGCTACGAGTACCAATAATGCATCTGCTCCCTTCACCACCTCTGACTGAGCTGATTGGTCTGTATTTGCAGGCAGATGGGGACCCTGTGTTTTCTATCTTCTTTTCCCTCTTTATTGTCCTCCCCTTCCTCGGAAGAGGATGTTTTGTTTTTGTTTTGTTTTTTTAAAAAGAGGGGGTTAAAAATAAACCTCCTGCTTCCGTACAGACCAGGGTGGCCCCTCCGTGAACCTTGCTCTAGTGTTCACATGTGCTGTTTATGCACTGGTGCTCATTTATTACTGGCAGGTTCACCATACCCCAAAAATGTCCTTAAGGATACAGCACAGTTACTGGATGTAATTGACCTTAGCAGTAAGACCTAGAAATGGGACGATACCTCAAATTACCAATGCACGTTACTGTTTCCTAGGGTTCAGATCAGTGCTTTCCATCCCATTAACATGTCACGTAGGAAGTTTTTATAGTGGGGAAAAGTCTCTTGGTTTAAAAAAAAAAAGGTAGCATCTGGGCATGGAAAGTTGGCTCCACACTCGGGTTTGGTAATGGTTCACCGAAGCACTCAAGACCATGGTTCAATTATTCATTTGACTACTCCTTAAAAATAGTCTTTTGACCTCCTCTGTGGGTGTGTGTGTGTTTGGGGGAGCAGCAGTTCCTTGTCATCTGCTGCTGAGACAACAGTAATTGTGTCCCCTTCCGAAATGGGTCACTGTTCCTACTGAATGTTGATTTATTTTCATTATTTTAGGTTCATTGAGCAGAGAGGCAATGACTAGGGCAAATAGGTTTTACCTGTTTGCCCAGGGCGCTGAGGGTTGTTGCTGTTTCAAAGCTTAGCCCAGGGAGAAAAGACGAGAAAATGGAAAGATTGGAATAAATAATGGTCTAGTCAAGACTCATGCAGAAATTCCCACCAGTGCTGAATTACTGTGGCGTTGTAGTGTTGATGATTTGCCTTTTCAAATGTGGCTTTGTCCAGAACTCTGCATAGAAGGTGTTTCCTAGCTGAAACTGGAAGAATTCTATTGGTATGTATCTGTACGTTACCCATTCAAACAAATCTACGTCAGGCCCCTTTGGTAATTTTAAAATTACTGAATTTCTCAAACTATCTGTTGCTGCTGAGACTCTTTCTAGAATAGTCGTGATTTTGTACCAGGAGCCATATGGTTTTTGAGACACTTGTGAGACTGATGCTCTGGATGTGAAGTTGAATGTATGTGGGAACCAGCGGGTACATATTTGTGGTTACCACTAACCAAAACCAAACTTACTTAAGCAAAATAGGGAAATTCCTTCTATCCACAACACCTTGTTGCTTTTATTGCCTGTTTGCTGAAAATGGTTTTAAGTCTCCTTGGTCATAATGTCAGCTCCTTATAAAGGCAGTGGATTCCTCTTGTATCTGTTTCTTCCCTAAAGAAGAATAACAAAATCACAAGGAGTTTGCTTGAATCATTTAATCTCCCTCTTCTCCCTTCCCTCCCTGTCCCAAAAAAGGGAATGTGCTTGAGAAAATTGTGACTTTATAAGGCTCTAACTAGCCACTATGTGAAAGTAATTCCTACCTGATGGCTATAAAAAGTCTCCATTGTTTGGTTTGCTTCTAAGATGCATATGAGAGAAGATGAAAAAGCAAAGCAAATCTTTCTCTCCTCATGTCGAAGGCAGTTTCATTATGAGGGTTAATAATTTCTTTGAGCAAGGGATTATTCAGCTGAGTTCAGTTATTCCCTGGTATGTGGAGAGTAATGTATCTTCCCTCAATATATGTATTCTGTTTATGTGAGTGATGATGGGGCCCAAACCCTCTGCTCCCAGACTTCCTGAGGGTAGGGATTGAGATCTGGATCCAAACTTCTTGGGTGCAGCCCATCTCGGGTGTATATCCCACTAGTTATAGCCATTCCCTTCTTTTTAAAAGCTTTGTCCTTTTTTAATTATAAAGGAATAAGCCCTTTGGGTACATCCCTTGCTGAAATTGCAAGCATATGTGGGTCGAAGGGGAAACATTTATTTTCAGGTTTTTGATATTGGGAAATCCTTATTCCCAAACTTGGTAAAACAGGGCTTAATATTCTAATAAATCCCAGTGTTCTTAAATGTGGTCTAAGTTTGTCTGTAACTGATTTAAATGTTTTCAAATCGTGTCATAAGTTGAAATGAGGCTTAACAAAACCCTACTATATTGTCCCACTGATTGAGGAATGCCCACTGATATTGTGAAATGAGGAAAAGCTGATAGGGCTTTATATATTCTGTTCTCTTCCCTTCCCCCATGCTTGTGAGGAGACAAATGTTTGATTTGCATTATTTTCCATTGTGTTAATATACCTTCTTTAGTGTATTGAGATGATTGATTGAAAAAGAAGGGTGAACTAGTTTGCCAAATGGGTAAATGATCAATTGTTAAATCTGCCAGTATTAAATGTCATGTGACCGTATGTTCTACAGATTAGTTTGAGGATTTTGATTATTGAAATATTTCTCGTGCTCATCAAAATTTGTAATGGAACAGCAGCCTGTTCTCATCTTCCCACACGTTCATCACTTCCCCTTACCTACCAGTAGAGAAAACGCTTGGGCCCAATTTCTGTTCTCAGTTACAGCCGTGTAAATCATGAAGTAATTCTCTTAGCCAGATGAGTTACTATGGATTTACACCGATGTAACTCAGAACAGAATCTGGCTCTTAATCTGATCATTTATTTAGGCTGGGATTTTCCAAGATGCCCAAGAGAATGTAGGTGCATAATTCCCATTTGAAATCAGATTCCCATAAGGCATCTTCGGAAGTCTCACCCTTTAGATCTCAGCTTTATGGATCTGTGGGGGATTTTTTCTAAACATTGGCTGCATAACATTTTTCATGAGCAGATTGAGTTTGCAAAAACTGCACTGCTTATAAAAAGTTTTCTATTTGACATGCATTAGAAAAGGAATCCCTATCTACTTTCCAGTACAGAGCTTTGAAATGGTCAAGATTGTTGCCAGATGCAGGTTCACCTCATCTAATGGAAGTATAACTAATTTAATGAAGTTGCATCCTAGTAAGCGGTTCTGATTTTAGGTCCTAAATCTGCAGTGAGCACCACGCAGGTGGATCCCTATACCCACACAAAGCCCACTGACTTCACCTGCATAGAGATCAGTGCAGGATCAGCACCATAGTGTTGTGGGAAGAGTAGTGGAGCCAAGAACAAGGGGTTATGCAGCCAGACACTTGGCTTCTCTCCCGCCAGGAAATACGTTTGCTCCATATGGGATTTGTCTTGTTTCTTACGGCTGCCATTGATATGGTTCTCATTCATCCTGTCTTGAAAAGGGTGCATCTCCTGTAATACAGCAATTAGCACTAATTACCCTTTCACCAAAGAGTCAGTGTAGCAATTCCAATCCATTTGTTGAAATGATCAGTATCCGCTATGTTACTTATACATGAAATGAATAGAATAAACCTAGTTTAGTAACTAAAAATTATGTTCTTTCTATAAATTTGGGGTTTTAAAGAATTAGAAGGCATTTGACAGAGAAGTTTTGAAGCAATAATGTCTGTTTGGGTAGTAATGTCAGGTGATTTTTAGCACAGAGGCCTAAGAATTGGCGGAGATTACACTCTTGACAAAGATTAGCTTTGCTTGGACAGTTTATGGAGGCCAATGAGGGACAGCATGATTCTGGCCTGGTTTATAAAGCAGTTACACTTAATATTCCATACTGTGAGAATTTCCCTTGACCATTCAGTTTTAGTCAAATTTAACACTGGTGCAAGCGGACTCAGCTCCCATTGGCTGTTTAATGGGAAAGGAGGGGTGAAATGAAAGGCTGGTCCATTGGCTCTACTAATTGCTATATTATGAGAAGCACCTTTGAATATCATCCACCTTTCGTTTGGTCAAGACGTTTGTTTGTTTCCTTGCCTCTGTTGATTGCCCTTACATATTTTCACATCTTAACAATGAACATTTGTTCAAAAATAACTTACTGCAGTTCTGCTTAACCTACTGAGTGCCAGACTATGGAATAGAAGGACTTTCCAGTTTCATGTCATAGGTTAGTGAAACAAAGGACTGTTTTCTTAAGCAATTTAAGGTTCTCATTTGGTAAGCATTTCTAGGGTCCCTCCTTGAGAAGCTTGTAATCTGCCAGCAAACATTGGAGATGAGATTGCAAGCGCAAATGCAAGAGAAATATTTTTGCTGTCAGGAATGTGTGTTTGTTCTTCAGTGGGAGTGGGCAGAGGAAGCTAACTTTTAAAAAATAGTAGCTTCATTGAAAGCTATATTACTGACTTCATGAATTGCTTTCATTGGCGATCGTGACCCTAACATTTAGACATTGAGAGGTCAGATTCTCAGCTGGTGTAAATAAGCATGGCTGTATCAGCTTCATTGAAGCTGTGCTAATTTACCAGAGCTCAAGCTCTGGCTGCGAGAGTCTCACCAGGAACACAGAACTGAATTGAGTTGGTTAAAGCTTTCTCTGACCGCTGAATTACCCTGTTGGAAAACTAAGTTCACCAAGTAAGAGGAAAATGAGTCCTTGGAGAGTGTACCTTCACTTCAAAATTAGCCCAGGCGTCCTAGTCTGGGCACCTGTGTTAGGCCTGGTCCACACTAACCCCCCACTTCGAACTAAGGTACGCAAATTCAGCTACGTTAATAACGTAGCTGAATTCGAAGTACCTTAGTTCGAACTTACCGCGGGTCCAGACGCAGCAGGCAGGCTCCCCCGTCGATGCCGCGTACTCCTCTCGCCGAGCTGGAGTACCGGCATCGGCGGCGAGCACTTCCGGGATCGATTTATCGTGTCTAGACAAGACGTGATAAATCGATCCCAGAAGATCGATTGCTTACTGCCGGACCCGGAGGTAAGTGTAGACCTACCCTTAGTGTAGACTGGGTGTGAGCAGACAGACAAGTGAAGACATACACTGAGATGGGTGGGTGTGTCTAGCTTAATTTTCCTCTTCAGCAGTTGCTTTTATCAAAGGGCTTGTTTCTCTTCTTGCCAGCGAAGGAGCCTTTAATGCAGCCCCAAGGCAAACTGAAATAGCCCAGATCAGATGTGGACCCAGAATTCCAAGCCCCATGTTGGTGGAAGCATATTTAACTGAAAGAATAGATTCAAGCTGCTGTGCCCTCAGAACCTTCTCATAAGGCCCTTTGACTTAGGCTGGGAGCGGACGAGTCGTCTGGGCTGCTCCTCTTGCCTCCTTACATTTCATCCCCTCTTTCCCACTCTCTTCGCCATCTTTTTTCACGCTCCTCCACCACCCCGGCACAAAAATTGCCAATCCTTTAAAATCCCGTATGATTGATAAAGAGCAAATATTCCGATTGTTTAAAAAAAGGATTAGGAGAGGTTCCTGCGAGTCATAATATAAGTTTGGAAGCCAGAGCTACAGTGCAATAGAATATTGAGTAAGAATTCACAGAATATGGCGTAAAATGAAAATACCATGTGGTATCACATGGTATTACCAGTACATTGTGAGCTAGGTGCTGAGACTATAACTGTAGTCGCAACTGAGAGAGAGCTCTGTATGCCAGGAACATTACTTGGAATCTTTTTCTTCCCATAAGTTCCTTTTATTTTAAAGGAAGTTGCCAGTAGAAAATTACCTGGAAAAACTTATGGAATTAGCCTTATCTAAAAAACAAAGTTGATAAAATACCCTCAGGAAGAACCCCACTAAAATACGATTATGACAATGGGAAAACAAAATTCAGATTCATTAAGATTTAACCCAGGTCTTTCAAAATTAGTTCATGAAGGACTTTGGCTCTATCAGAAGGTAAAAAACAGTAGTAAAATATACTGTTTGTGTGAACTAACAGAGGTTGGGGTAGAAAAAAGCTACTCATTAACAGAAGAAAGCAAACTGCAACCACATATCAAAAGGCAATTCTGTGATCACTGATGGTTGGGTCTATATGGGAAAAATGACTGGATCCTTAGGAGTTTTTTCTAAGAAAGTCTGTAACTCTGTTGGCTGTGTCATGATTCAGTTATCTCTCTTGTTTTCCCCCCACCTTATTGTGGTTTTTCATGTGCTAGTTTTCCAATTATCCTGGAACAAGGATATGTAGTGGAAGCATGAAAGAAGGAAACAGACTTTGAATTGCAGTTTGGAGATGGCATTTGGAAGTTTTCCTTTTTTCTAGGTAGCCTGAAGTCTTGAGTCGGCACATTTTTTTTTTTGTCTTCCTATAGCTCATAGAATTCAATTTGAAAACAAATAGGTATAAAAAA